TGTGGAGACTCCAAGTCAGCTTGAAGTTCCATGAGGGTGGGAATTTCATATCATCTTAACATTTTGGGGACTCAGGGTCAGTTTGAAGTTCCATGGGGGTGGGAATTTTCAGTTTTAAGTCCATGGGGGTGGGAATTTTGATACCTTCTTAACCTTGTGGAGACTCCAAGTCAGTTTGAAGTTCCATGGGGGTGGGAATTTTGATATCATCTTAACCTTGTGGAGACTCCAAGTCAGACTGAACTTCCATGGGGGTGGCAATTTTTATATCACCTTAACCTTGTGGAGACTCCAAGTCAGTTTGAAGTTCCATGGGGGTGGGAATTTTGATATCATCTTAGCTTTGTGGAAACTCCAAATCAGTTTGAAGTTCCATGGGGATGGGAATTTGATATCATCTTAACTTTTGGAGACTCCAAGTCAGGTTGAAGTTCCATAGGCGTGGGAATGTTGATATCATCTTAAACTTGAGCAGGTCAAGTTGCGCAATCCTAGTTCCGCAATCCGACCAAAGAGTTGCTCAATCCTGGGAGTTGCGCAATCAGAGTTGCACAATCCTAGGAGTTGCGCAATCAGAGTTGCGCAATCCTGGGAGTTGCGCAAGCCAAGTGGCGCAATCCTAGTTGCGCAATCCGACCAAAGAGTTGCGCAATCCTAGTTGCGCAATCCGGAGAAGTTTCGGAATCGGACTTTATTCCCATAATTGGACCAAGTGATGGTTCCACTTGCTCTCTTTGGCATTGGTCATTACACACCGGTTTTGCATATGTGAACATGTTTTTGTTTTCCGCATTTCTTCGTATGACGATAAAGCCACTCCCAAGCCAAGCCCGTCGCATGATTTGTTCAATCTCTTTGATCATGTGCGCTCGCCTTCTTTATGGAACGAGTTTTAAAAACAACGTTTTTTTCATCGGTGGGAAGCTGTAGCAACAATCGGCGTAGTGTTTGTCTGTGAAGAATACCATGGTGTTGGCAAACGATGCGCAGACCCTTCCGAACTAGTAACACAAGGTCTTCTGATGATTTGTCAAGAGTGGTCTGGGTGCATGCTGACTGCTAAAGGTTCCTCCGCCAAGAAATGGATGTGATGTATCGTTACAATTCGTGACAAAAGTTTTCGAAAAAAAAAACTGTTTTACTTGACCGTGACCCTGACGCTGGGATTTCTAGTCGATTGAAATACTTTGACCGATGTGTCTCCTCCGTCGCGTCCTGTTGCTGCAGGGCGCTGCGCAATTCACAAAAACAGTTGCAAGCAATCGGTATTACATTTTCAAAATATTGCCGCAACATTCTGTTCCCACCTCCGGGGGGGCAGACCATTTTTTGGAATGGAATAATATTTCAATATTTTGCCCGCTTGGCATGATAGAGTTCAGATGTTTGTGGCATGGTGCCTTGCATCTCAATTCGTTTCATGATCTCCGAATAGATGGGTGCGACAAATGCTGGATTGGAACCTCGCAGAGGCACGTGGACCCGGAAACCGAAAGAAACCTGGACAAACAAATTGGAAACATTTGGCCGCTACAATTAGGCGCTTAGAAATCATCATGTCAGCTATTGGGATGTTTCCAAGGCCAGTTGTGCAAACACTTGCTTATCGTAAAGGTTAAGACCCATTGTTATGTTGGTTTGATATTTTGAGGTGTTGTTTTCACCGGCAGCACCTGTGCCTAAAAAGGCCCGGCAACCAGCGTGCAAACCAAATTTAAAACATTAGAATTGAAAAACATCTGCGATATTACAGCACCACAATGTGAAGGTTTGGGTGAAACGACCTGTCAAAAAACATCCAGTGTTGCCACCCTCCCTGCTAACACATGTATGAAGCAGTTCCTTGCTTGGAAAAAACGAATTTGGAAAATTTCTAGGTATCCAGGTCATGAATGGACAAAAAAAATCGTCGCATACACACGGTATGTATCGTCAAGTTGGAAATTGGGAAACGTTCGCTGCTCATGCATTTTCAGGGTTGCATTTTAGAAATGATTTTATCACAGTTATATTCCTCTCAGGTTTGGTTCGTTTTTTTAAACATTGCCTATCCCAAAAATAAATATGTTGTTTTCGGACATGCACTCAAACGAATGTGAGCCTTGATCGTTCGTTTGCTTTGACGAAATGTCATGGCCATGCCTTTGAACCTTTGACAAAATTGAATGTAACATAGTGTGTCAGCTGGGTAGGGTTACAGCAACAGGATGAAGATTGGTCGGAAACAATGTCCCGAATAAACGGAAAAATATTTTTTGCAAGTGAAACCCATGAGTGCAAACCACGGTCATGTCAGGTATTCAAAAAACAGGTTCGTGTTGCAACAAAAATATTCCACCTGCGCAACTCGTGGTCTGCAGCAACAACCCAATGCAATCCAACCAGTGGGTGGCATAGTTTTTTCCAATGAACCCAAACGTAAGCAAAGTTGCCTTTCAAACTGAAAAACGATGGGATGATAAGGAACATTGCAAACCATTATTTCCAAATGTCATGGGCCAATGCTGCACAAGACCGGCCTGAATTGTCGTTCCTGGAAAATACACATGCACAATGTACAGTTTTGCAGCCGCCTGTGACCCCTGTACCCCCCTTGCCGTTATAGGACCGAGGCGACTCGGACCGCTGAAAGAAAGAAAAGTGTATCGACACATTTGGTTGGGTTCCGATTGTTGCAGAAAGATCATGCAGGTGAAAATTTTGGTGGCTCGAAACCCGTGTTTCAATATCTTTCCGGGCATGCCCAAAGGCGCGTCTAAATCCGAAACTTTCCGCACAGTGCTTCCATGGGGCACGGACCATTGGCGAGTTCACTTTTTATTGTTGGTTGTGATGTATGGATGGTTTGCAGCCTTTGCTCGGCGTATGTTTCGCTGATGTTTTTTTTGTCAACACATCGGAAAATGAAACAACTGTTCTAGGGCAAATGTTTTTGCCAGTTCACGCAATGGTTTCCGTTGCTTCAGTTTCCCAATATCCAATTAAGTTGCAACTGCACATTCAACACAACAGGCTGCCGCAAGAGTGCATATTTCGTTTTAAGGCGTGGTGCAACAATCAGGTCAAACCCTGTACATTCTAGAAAGAACCAGCGGGTCCAGTTTGTACAATGTGACCTAGGTGGATGCACCCCAACGCAAACCCGATCAAACAACCCAGAAAACGGGGTATGTTAAGATCGACACATTTAGGTGGGGAGCTCCCAAGGCACCACCTCAAATGCCACATAATGGTTGAGCATATCGGATGGTGGTGGGAAAACGAAAAGAGCGTGGGAAACTTGAAGCAAAAACGGCAACGGACCAGGCATGAACTTCCGGGTCCTATGCATGAACACCTATGTACACGTACATGACACGTTCACGCAATGGTTTCCGTTGCTTCAGTTTCCGTTTCCCAATATCCAATTAAGTTACAACTGCACATTCAACACAACAGGCTGCCGCAAGAGTGCATATTTCGTGTTAAGGCGTGGTGCAACAATCAGGTCAAACTCTGTACATGCTAGAAAGAACCAGCGGGTCCAGTTTGTACAGACTGACCTAGATGGATGCACCCCAACGCAAACCCGATCAAACAACCCAGAAGACGGGGTATGTTAAGATCGACACATTTAGGTGGGGAATTCCCAAGGCACCAAACTTTATCGACAATCGACCAGCCGGAGTATGAATTCCCCAAAAAACAATCGATGGAGGCACCCAGTCTGCTGACTGCAGCAACTTTTTTGTCACGCGGTTGAATGTTAAAATGTGACGGCCACTTTCGACCGTTCTGGGTCACTTGAATGCCAGAAGAGCAAAGCAATTCTTTCCAAGGAATGGTAATTCTTCCATCAGGATCCAGAGGTGTCGACAGGTGCTGCTTGAAGCGGCTCACCTCATCTGCCAGCACGTTGAGGCGCCCAGGGATATGCGAAATGTGTGGAAAGAATTGAAATCTCCTCATGAGTGTGAAGTATGGTGGAAACATGACTGCAAGTGCTTTGGTCATAGTCAGTCCCTTGGCGGAGGCTGCATCAGCTGTGCTGTTGTCAGTTGCCTGATGACAGGCCACTGGCCCCTTGGTTTTGGGCAATGACGACTGGATGCTGAATGTTCAATGCAAGTTGGGCAAGCAGTTCCCACGCAGCAATGTGCTTGTGCATATCATCCCCAATCCAATTCCAAATAGATTGAGTTTCATCCAAGTTCACTAGTTAGCCTTCCGTTGCTCAAGTTGTGGGTGACGTAGAGAGATAAAATCTAGAAACCCGAGAAAATAAAACGCCATAAAACAGAAAATATCCCAGCAAGGATTCAAAAGGCGCATTCGCAAAAACAGCCAAATTCTTTTTACGCGTGGCGAAGATTAGTCGTCGGACTAAATGAATGTCAAATGCACAGCAGTACAAAATTAAATCGAACAGTTCGTGAACACCAGACGGGAATTCACGGTGGTGGGAAAGGAAAACTAACGTAGAAACGCGGTCTACCACACACCACAACTTGACCCAAAATGGCATCCATAAAACCGGATCACCCAAGCAAAACCCAACAGGAGAAACCATTCAAAACCAGAAGGTCTGAAACAGGGGTTTTGCAAAACAGAGGCCGGTTTCAAACAAGTGAACAACACCGATCAATCTCGAGTACAGTTCACTAGTTAGCCTTCCGTTGCTCAAGTTGTGGGTGACGTAGAGAGATAAAATCTAGAAACCCGAGAAAATAAAACGCCATAAAACAGAAAATATTCCAGCAGGGATTCAAAAGGCGCATTCGCAAAAACAGCCAAATTCTTTTTACGCGTGGCGAAGATTAGTCGTCGGACTAAATGAATGTCAAATGCACAGCAGTACAAAATTAAATCGAACAGTTCGTGAACACCAGACGGGAATTCACAAACCGTAAACTTAGGGGGTTTTGGGAGCCCAAATAAAATCGAGAACATCGACCGAAAGGATCAAAACCCCCAAAGTGAACATCGATGTGCAAAAGACATGATTCGCCACTTTTTTGGACTCAGCGGGTCAACAAAGTGTGCGGAAATTTGGCGTTTGATGGTGAATGTTCTGGAAGAGATGAGCACAGCCAGGTCCATGGGACATCAACCTGGAGTTCTGGAGTGCAATGTGGTAGGTGCTTACCACGACTCAGGGCATCTGCTTCATCGTTCCACATGCCAGGAATATGTTGGATCGAAACGTCCAGGTTGTGAATGCGTTGAAATCTGAAGAAAGCTGCTAAAACATGGCACATGCCCGAAGCCGTAGATAAGGCTTTCAGGTGAGCAGCTTCTGCCGATGTGTTGTCACAGGCAAACGTGACAGATATGGGGGTACAACGACCCTTCAACGCACGATCCAAACAAAACGCCAAAGCAAATTGGCCCAGTAATTCCCAAACATTTATGTGCTTCTGCATGGAGTCAGAGATCCAAGGAAAAACGTCTTTCGCTTCAGCATGTGAAATCGTGAAGGCAAACCAAGCAGCAACTTCCCCATTCAGTCTAAGGATGCCACCTAAGCCAGCCTCTCCTTGAGTAGCGCATGCATCTGCAGATGCTTGGAGAGGAAGGTATGTCGGTGGGATCATGTTGTGCAAAAAAAGTGTGCCAACAAGAACATCCTTCCAGGCTTGAAGGGATTCATGGGTTTCTTGCAAAAGTTTTCGCTTGCTGGAACCCGGTATATTGATACCTAACCAAATACGTCTCGATTTGAAGTGCAACGATCTGGCATGGCCAAGGTCACGGAGTGTGAAACTCGCTGCACGCACCACCTTCACATTCTTACGCAAGGACGGGTGATGCAAACTTTTGGAGAGTGTGAGGTCATCCTGCAAGGCATCAAGAAGAAGAGGCCACTGCTCAGGTGAAATTGAAACCAAAGTTAAAGGCACAGTCATCATGGCCTGGTACAATGGGCCCAATAACGGTCGCAAGGTTTCCCAGAGGGATGAGACCCAAAGCAATCGCCCGGTGAGGGACTCCAAAGTCTTCAGATCACAGCGAGATGATCTCAGTAAGGAATCAATCTGGTCCAGGATCTTGGCACGCTTGTCCGGGGTGATAGATACCACCCAACGCTTGACATTGATACTCCATCCAATCCATGGCAGCTTCACCCTTGGGAGCAATCCATGCCAGGAGAAGGGCCACCGTCTGGGTGATCATACCCACAGTATGGGAATTCGCCGCCATAGCTGATCCAGCGGGCATCGCAATGCGGGCTCCCAGTTAAAATGTCGAAAGTGAGACAAATAAAAGGGGAATTTGACATGAGGACCATGAAACATGGATTGACAGCAGTCACATACCCCCGAAACAGGACCTAGGGCCAAAAGATGAACACATGTACATCCTACATGTGAGCAGTGAAAATGCAAAACTGAACAAACAAACGATAGGTTCCAGTAGTCAAAAGTTGAACCTAAACGCGTGCAGTGATCAATGGAAACCACGTCACAGCGGTGACATCACAACACCATACGACATGTCGCTGCAAAACAAAATTGGTGTGATTGTCAGAAACATGCACAATCCACAAGTTTTGTCAGCGCAACTCAAGAAAGCAGCAACAGTTTTTGGATCGCTCAAATCACCTGTGACATGATCCTGGCACAGGCTCGACGCAAACAAAATCTGGCACCTTCAGGCAAGCAATGGGTGAATTGCAAATCACCGGATATCGCATTGGGACGGGCACCACAGCCAGTACGATATGGCTGTAAATTGGAATCCTCATAACACATGGCTCGATCCGAACTGGAGCATTGTATAGCCAAATGGGCAACCTTCGTGACTGGGTTCACCAGAAAAATCAACTCCTCAGGAGCAAGTGCGGATGGCTCATCCATGACTTCACTCACCGCTGAAGCTTCCGATGCCTCTGACCCATCATCATCCTGAGGGGCATCTGGCTCCACTGACTCGGGAGGTGGTGCTGGCACTGAATCCTGCACATCTGACTTGGGTTCAACCTGGAATGCAAGTGGCTTCCAAGATGGGAGCTGTATTGAAAAATCCGGCAGTGACGGCGAGCCACTCCTCAACATGGGTCGAAGAGGTCTGAACCCCTCTGCAATTCGTTGTGCAACTGTGCATTGTAGCATGAGTGCTGGCAATGTATCATTCCTGCTGTACAAGGCGACCGAACCATTCACAGCAGATCTATGATGACCTTGCAATTGACGCTGTTCCAAAGACAGTTGCAGTTGTTGTGACCAGCATAGCAATGTTGTCTTGCATGAATGAGTCCCCAAAAGATGAAAATCCTCAGGCTTAGCCACCACACCGTGAGCTTCGTGACACTTGCACAACCAGTAGCGCAAGAGCTGCAAGCCTCGATCCCGTGGCATAGGCCTGAGAAAAAGGGGCCGATTCAAATCCGTGCCCACCTCAGTCAGCAAGAAGTCAACAGCAAAAGCCGGGTATAATTATAGCTACAGGGTGACCCTCCTACACAACGTGCGCGGCCTAAGCATATGTATCATAAACATATACGCCAAACATAAACATGGTATATGGGAGTACACGTCCACATAATAAAACCTATGTAAACCAAAACATAAACACGACGACCGACACGACACTCCTCTCTCCCTCACGGTTCACAAATCTCAAAAATAAAATTGCACATGCCGTCATGAGTTCTCAGCTGTTCTTTTTCCGCTTGGCAGTCAAGGGGGATATCAAACGCAACATACATCGCATACACACCACCACATGTGAATGTGTTCCACAGTCACTTTGTGACATGTTGCATAGCTCCAACATTTGGATTCTTTCACATTTCCCCCCTACGTTGTGTTGTACATTGTTTGCAAAGGGTTGGGAAAAGCGTGCACGCCACGATTGGGAGGGGCAAACACAATGAAATCAAAAGGGCACACCCGCCCACCCTCCTCACTTGAGGCGACGCGGTCATATATAAAATTCATAAGTGATCACCTACCAGATAATGAAAGATGATTTCACACGACAAAATAAACTGAAACAACATGTGAGACATGTACCACATGTACCTGCACACCTGTGAGGTTTCACGTTTGTTTGTTTCAGTTTTTTTTTTAACAGTTCGAATTAAACATTGTTAGGCAACGCGCACTGTAAAGTTTCTCAGAAACTTTTTTTTTGGGGGGGGGTTTGGAGGGCGCTCACATGGTTCGCTTTCACCCTAAGCTATAAAAAGCTATTAGCAAGCTAAACGCATTCTTATAGCTACAGGGTGACCCTCCTACACAACGTGCGCGGCCTACGCATATGTATCATAAACATATACGCCAAACATAAACATGGTATATGGGAGTACACGTCCACATAATAAAACCTATGTAAACCAAAACATAAACACGACGACCGACACGACACTCCTCTCTCCCTCACGGTTCACAAATCTCAAAAAATAAAATTGCACATGCCGTCATGAGTTCTCAGCTGTTCTTTTTCCGCTTGGCAGTCAAGGGGGATATCAAACGCAACATACATCGCATACACACCACCACATGTGAATGTGTTCCACAGTCACTTTGTGACATGTTGCATAGCTCCAACATTTGGATTCTTTCACATTTCCCCTCGTCTGCTTCAGCTACACCATTTCGTAAGATCTCAAGAAAGTATTCACCACAGGGCATTCTGCATCTATTATGGTTATGTCTCCAAGGAAAGCTAAATCGGAAATGTTCCTTCTGCTGGGAGGATCAGCTGGATTGGAGGTCGATGGGACTCTGGCGGTCCACAAGTGCATGGGGTGGCTCTCGTCCGTCTTTTCCAAAACAAGCAATAGCTGCCGCCATTCTTTAACTCCAGCCGTGCCCTTGACCACAGCATCGTAAGCAGGCCAGGAGTCTGTAAACAAAATGACTCTATCATCTTTGAAAATCTCTCTCCAAGTATGTAAGCCAGTCACAGCAGCGTACAGCTCCACCAAGCCTATAACATGGGTCCTGCCACTGACCTGCCACAAGTCCATCAACTGTTGCGGCACGTCACATCCAAAACACAAAACTCTTCCGTCTCGGCAAATCAAAACACCACCTATGCTGGCACTAGGGTTTCCCAATTCGTCGTATTCCAGTGCTCCATCAGTGAACAGCAAATGTGGTCTGCAAGGCACCGAGGCTTTCAATTCTCTCGGTCGTCCAGTTGTGAATCTTTCCAACAAAACTTCAATGGCTTCCTTTGCTTCTTCTGTGACTGCGAAGGCTCCGGTTTTATGTAGCGTAGCTTCTCTCAGGTCTGCAAGAGCGATTCTACCCGCACGACCCCACAGCTGAGCTTCTGCAAATTGTAGCTTCCCCAGATAGGAAGGCAGTGAGTCAGCTTCAATAACCCCACTGTCTAAAATCCTATTCAAGCACTCCGACACTTCTGTGACTCTCGCAGGTTTGTTCTGAACCTTGATCAAGCCATTGTCTATCTCTCGAAGGTCAAGCTCCACCCCCAACATTGATGCCACTTTGTCAAAGGGGTCCAGTTTTTCGTCATTGTACTTGAAGCCCAGCAACTCGAAAATACCCAATGCGGTGGACTGGGTGCTGCGCCTGTTGGCTACGTTGCACAGGGTTGGGAAGTCGTCAAAATACGCTCCCCAGCACAAACCAGCATGAAGTCCTACAGCATGTATGAAACTGCTGACTCGTAAAAAGTGATGCACACTTGCCGTGGCACCGAATGGAAGGGTGCGCATTAGAAAGCAAGCTGCCTTTCTGTTATTGACATCCCACAGGCTGACCACGGTGCGGTGATATTCGCATGGATTCAGTGGTAACTGCTTGTAGGCAGATTTCATGTCCACACACGTGGCCTCCATTCCAAAAGCAACCTTGTTCCACGCAGGATGCACGTGCCCTTCCAAAAGGGTCCCATCGCAAAGCACAAACTTGATCTCACCAAAGTGTCTCATGTATCTGGCCAAGGTAACCAACATCCACAGCACGTGTTCCATCGCTTTCAATTCAACCTTCTCGTAACATCCGAAGGTCAGGTTCAGCATCGATTCCTTGAAGTTGTCGATTGGTCGCAGCTTGTCACGCTGCATGATTCCGAACCTCCTCACCGGAAGCCACTTGTCACCTAGTTGGCGATGTATCTCTTCAACCTCATAAGGTCCTTCCAGCCAGTGTTTCTCCATTGCTTCTTTCATGGTTGTTTCAAACAATTCCTTCTGCAGCTCAGCATCTTCGAAGTTCTTCAGTCTTCCCAAAATGGCAGGACGCAAAAATTTTGTATTCTTCTCAAGCTCTTCTTCACTGATGTTCGCAAGTGTCACACCAGCCTTGAAAATGCCTGTAGTTTCGAAGGTACCAACGAGCTTGAAGCCCTCTCGCAACTCTGAGAACAATTGCATGTCTGGCCAACCCATCTCTTTGGCCAACTCTTCCATGACAAGGATTCTTTTCCCTTCCATGACTCTTCGCACATGTTGAGGCATGCGCTCATGTACTTCCAGTTCGGCCTTCTGTAAGATGGAGGCCCTGCTCGCCCACTTCCGCAAGAACTGGCAACGCAACTTTGTCAACTGGTGAGGGGACTCAGTGAGGTTGCTAAAAAGTGCTTTGATCATTCTGTCAGGCAAGTTTCGTAACTCATCAAAGGGGTGCCACAACGACCTTGCACATTCAACAAATTGCGACATGCTGCGGTAAATCCCAAAAACGCACAAAACTTTCTCTGATCTCCCCTTGTCCGCTTCAGTTCTCAACAGCCGACTGCCTGCAGGTATGGGGCCATGGGCTTTCAGCAGATTTCGTTTGTGGTCCAAGGCCGGCACAGACTCTAGCATGCAAGTTGTGACGTCCAAAAACTCAGGGATCAGCTGGGGCGTTTTCCGACCCTTTGGCTGTGATTGTGGCAACCTGCGGACTGACTGTCCTGGAAGGAGGTCTGTGTCCAGGAATTTCTGCAACACCCTTACATATTGTTGGCACATCATCGTTGGATATTCAGCCTCTTTTGCAGTGTTGAAACATTTGTTGACATGGTCATAGCCCCAGCTTTCATGTTCATGTGGCGCCACGTCTTGGCAGAACCTCGACAATGCTCCAAATTCATCTCGATTCGAAAGGAAGGAAGTCAGCTTCTTCCTCGAGCTCCCAAAAGCGCAAGCGTGACAGTCATGCTTGGTACCATGGGCCATTGCAAAAGCAAAATACGGAAGGTCCCATAAAAAACTGTTGGTGGGGTTCTCGATTGTCCATGGGATTTGAAGGCGCTCCAGCGTCTCCACCAGCAAACCAAGCTTCTCATATAAATTATTTGCAGCAGTTACCCTTTGTTTGTCTCGAAATCCCAGATTTGGAAGACCCAGCAAATAATTGTCATCTCTAAGCGGTTGGGGTCCCGCCGATCCATCCGGCATAGGTATCCCTCTGGCTTTGCTGCACGTGCCGCAGGGCGGCCCCATGTGAACGCCCAACACATTGCATTTAGTCACCAGCTCAACAATGCGTTCGAAAGCATGCGGCAAACTAAGATCCAAACAAAGGACCTTGCACTTTGATTGATGTCGGTTGGACTCGTGGTCAAAGGCCAGCACCTCGACTCCCAAACGCTTAACCTCTGCAGACAAGGTTGCACTTCCAGCGCATAATTCCAAGAAGACATATGGTCTGTCAGCCTCTGTACCCGTGTGGCAAATTTTCTCAACATCTGAAAAATTCTCCTGTGCAGGTGTATCTGAAAAAGAATTCGTTGTGTCATCATGCATGACCTCTGCTGGCTCGCCCTCGGATGCTGTCTCCATTGCGTCGGATTCCAACGCTCTACCAAGGGACTGACAGCCAGAAGGTATTAGTCACGACTTCTGGCATTCCACAGCTGGGTGTCCTCTGAAGCATCCCTGTACTGCACACACATGCAACCCCTTTGAACACTTCTGTCCAGTTGCATCGCACTTCTTCAAGTTGTAAGAAAAACAAATCCTGTTGTTTTTGGGTGTAGCTGCAACACAGTTCAGCTTCAGTAGATCGTGTGGAATACGCACAAAAGCACTGCTGTTACCTTTGCCCTTGCCCTTCTTTCCAGTCTCTCGTTTGATTCGTTTGGTGGGTGGTTCTGCTGAGTTGCCACGCACCTCCTTCACCTTTTCCGCCGAGACTGTACCCTGTCTGGGCTGCAACAACGCAAGGACTTCTGAGCTTTCTGAACATTCCTTGAACACCAGGTCAAGAGGTCTGCCTTTGATGGTGGTTTTGATACCTTCCCTGGTTTTCTCAGCAAGCACGCAAAACAATTTCCTGTCAGCAAGCTCAAGTTGTTTCATGGTTGTCCTGGCATAGCCTGGTGCCGGGTCTTCTAATCTGCTCTGCATCAATTTTTCACTCCAAGCCTCCAACAACTTGAACTCAATCAGGTTCGCCTGGTCGAAGGCCAAAGCGCGCCTAACCAAGCAATAGCGCACCTGTATCTCGGTTCCTGTCGAACAAGGTTCTGTCTTTTGAAGCTTTGACAACTTGAGTGAACCCGATGAGTCAAAAGTAAGTGAGGCATCCTTCTTCGTCCCTGACAAAAGCTCATGTTCACGTGACACCGATGCAGACCATTCCACATACTGTAACCTGTCACTGTCATAAATGCTGATGCATTTGTCCACTAAGGTGTCTCCAGGCTCGTACTGTCCAGTGATGCTCAGACCTCCAAGTCTCTGCTGTTGGTCTTTCAACCTGCTGGCACGTTCCGCAGGGGCTAGGCGCCTCACCGGCGTATCGTCTGTAGCCTCTGACCTCACCTTGATGTCTGAAGCTATGTTGGCGTAACTCTCATTGAACAATCGCCTCATGCATGACAACTCCAAAGTGCTAGGGTCTCTATGCAAAAGTTTCTTGATCAAATCAGTGAAAGGACGCTCATCTGCAGCTCCCGGCGCAAAGTTGCAACTGAAGGCAAAAAGTGCCATCGTCCTGATACCTTCATCTGTAAGAGCTTTCACGGCTCCATCATCAAGACCTATCTCCCTAGCCCTCTGTGCGAAGACGGCTTCACTATCGCCGAAACTCATTGCCAGGCCCTACCGTGCGAAAGAACAGAAATGAATATCATGAAATCCCATGAAAGCATCCTGACACTTGACAGCATTTTGAAAAGAAACTGTTGTCACACTGATTGAAAAATGCACAAATCAACAGTCATGACATGTCCTGAGGCATCGACTTGAACCACGCATGCAAGATACACTGAATGAGTACATGTCACTGGGTGCACAAATTGAAATCGGATTCACAACACCCTGCATTGGGTTCATTCCGATGACAATCCCATGTGACTACATCATCTCTCAGAGATGTTCACGCATCACTCATGTGACAAACACAATGAAATCAAAAGGGCACACCCGCCCACCCTCCTCACTTGAGGCGACGCGGTCATATATAAAATTCATAAGTGATCACCTACCAGATAATGAAAGATGATTTCACACGACAAAATAAACTGAAACAACATGTGAGACATGTACCACATGTACCTGCACACCTGTGAGGTTTCACGTTTGTTTGTTTCAGTTTTTTTTTTAAAAACAGTTCGAATTAAACATTGTTAGGCAACGCGCACTGTAAAGTTTCTCAGAAACTTTTTTTTTTGGTTTGGAGGGCGCTCACATGGTTCGCTTTCACCCTAAGCTATAAACAGCTATTAGCAAGCTAAACGCATTCTTATAGCTACAGGGTGACCCTCCTACACAACGTGCGCGGCCTACGCATATGTATCATAAACATATACGCCAAACATAAACATGGTATATGGGAGTACACATCCACATAATAAAACCTATGTAAACCAAAACATAAACACGACGACCGACACGACACTCCTCTCTCCCTCACGGTTCACAAATCTCAAAAATAAAATTGCACATGCCGTCATGAGTTCTCAGCTGTTCTTTTTCCGCTTGGCAGTCAAGGGGGATATCAAACGCAACATACATCGCATACACACCACCACATGTGAATGTGTTCCACAGTCACTTTGTGACATGTTGCATAGCTCCAACATTTGGATTCTTTCACATTTCCCCCCTACGTTGTGTTGTACATTGTTTGCAAAGGGTTGGGAAAAGCGTGCACGCCACGATTGGGAGGGGCAAACACAATGAAATCAAAAGGGCACACCCGCCCACCCTCCTCACTTGAGGCGACGCGGTCATATATAAAATTCATAAGTGATCACCTACCAGATAATGAAAGATGATTTCACACGACAAAATAAACTGAAACAACATGTGAGACATGTACCACATGTACCTGCACACCTGTGAGGTTTCACGTTTGTTTGTTTCAGTTTTTTTTAAAAAAACAGTTCGAATTAAACATTGTTAGGCAACGCGCACTGTAAAGTTTCTCAGAAACTTTTTTTTGGTTTGGAGGGCGCTCACATGGTTCGCTTTCACCCTAAGCTATAAACAGCTATTAGCAAGCTAAACGCATTCATGTTGTGTATCATGGATCGCCTGCTGGATCACATTCAACCAAGTTTGGGCCCACGAGGCATTCCCATGTTGACCCAGCAGTCCAAATGCATAGCATGCGATCGGCATGCCTCTGTTTGTCGTCTTGGTATGCGACGAAATCGCAAAAAGAGCATGCTGTTGAATCGAGATAGATTTGGGGTCCACCCAAAGTGCATCAGACCACCGCAAGCTACTCCAAATCAAGAAAAGCAGTGCACCCAGTTGCAAGATGTCACTAGTTGATGCATCTTTGGCCAAAATCATCTTTTCAAGATAAACCACAAAGGACAATGGCAGAGGAGCTGACTCGCGCTTCTCGGAAATCACTGAGCTCTGCAAGTACGCCTTACAAACTGAAGACTGCAGGGCCTGGAACAAATCTGGAAGCTGGGCATGACGTGCAACCCATGACAAGCCTTTGTGATACGCTGTAGCCACTCCTAATGGGCCATGAGCATGTTCAGCAAGAAAATCGGCCACTAGACGACGGATGGCCCGAGAGCGTAGAGGAGCAGGGTCTTCTCTTGTTAGTGTGGAGACGCAATATTAGAAACGATATTTGAAAGCTGTGTTATAGGCAGTCGAGAAGAGGAGTATCAAGACAAAATAGTGAGAAGTGCAAGACAATAGTTTGCATCGCAAACACTTTTACACACAGACGCTTTTACACACAAAGCTTTTACACACAAAGCTTTTACCCACAGAAGCTTTTACCCACAGAAGCTTTTACACACAGAAGCTTTTACCCACAGAAGCTTTTACACACAGAAGCTTTTACATACAGAAGCTTTTACACACAGACGCTTCTACACAGACACTTTTACACACAGAAGCCTTTACACACAGACACTTTTACACACAGACCCTTTTACACACAGGAGCTGCTTTTACACACAACCGCTTGTACACACAGAAGCTTTTACACACAATCACGTTTAAACAGATGCAATTTTACATACAATCACTTTTACACACAAACTTCTTTACACAGAAACACTCGTACACACAAACCCGTTTACACACAAAGACTTGAACATACGGAAGGTTTTACACACACCACTTTTATACAGATGCACTTGTACACACAAACACTTTTACACACAAACATCTTTACACAGAAACGCTCGTACACACAAATCCCTTTTCGTGCGAAAGGGTTACTCCAGCACACGAAAAATCGCAATTTCACCTCAGTTTTTGCCGATCGACCCTCATTTCGTGCGAAAGGGTTGCTCCGGCACAAATAAACCCGCAATTTTATCTCAGTTTTTGCCGATCGACCCTCATTTCCCCAATCGCGCCAGCGCACAAAAGGACACGATCTGTTGATACGGGACGAGCCACGCAACAGCCGGGCCCTCCAGTCAAGTTGCCCAAATCGCGAAGTGTTGAGAACCTTGCTGCCATCACATAGGACAAGGTTGATTTTGGTGGGTCGGAACCGCCGAGTCCCCAGCCAAGTGAACGCGAAGAACTGGAAAGTGGACACTCCTCTCCCACTGCCCAATCGCGCTGTTTCAGCAGATAAGTGGGTGCCCGAGGAAATACCACTTGTAGCCAGTAAGGGTGTCATCTTAGTCAGTGAAGCTTTCACGGAGATCAATGCGGGCTTAGTCATCGTATTAGCGTCTGGTCACCAGGGTCCACTTCACCGAGCTTGCTGGTCCTGAACGGGATCCGGACGAGCTCGTTACCCTTGCCACTCAATTTGGTTTGTGTTCTGGATGATCGTGACAGCATATAGGACTTTGTACCGGTCCTCCACCAGTTACTTTTGCGGCCACCCTATAGGAACGGCCTACGCATGCCTTTGTTAAATCCGCCCACACCGCTTTGGCGGTGAAGGCGTGCTTATTGGGGGGCAACAGCAACACTAAATGCTCAATGACATTTGTTAATATAGCAGTCGCTATATCAGCTTTAGCTGGGGGGGGGGGCCAAAAACGGTTTCGCACCGAGACCAGACCCCAAAAACGGTTTCGCACCGAGACCAGAATACGGTGGTGTTTTCGACATTTTTCGAGGATTTTTGGGTGTCTGAGCGCAAGAGGGTATTGAAATGGAATTTTGGGTCATTTTGGTAGCTTTCCGGCAATGGAAAAACGGCCAAAAATGAAAAAAGCATTGTACATAGCAAGATTTTGCAGGGTTTTTGGATGCCAGAGCATTGAAAACACTGCAAAAACAAGTGTTTTGGACTGACGTTATAGCAAAAAACGTGTAAATTACCGTATGCCGTATGCTTGACTGGAAACATTACAAAAACACTGTCAAAAGCAATGTTTTGGAAGGATTTACTGCCTTTATGGCAAAAAACGTGTAAATTACCGTCTGTTTGACTGGAAACATTGGAAAAACACTGTAAATTACCGTATGCCGTATGCTTGACTGGAAACATTACAAAAACACTGTCAAAAGCAATGTTTTGGAAGGATTTACTGCCTTTATGGCAAAAAACGTGTAAATTACCGTCTGTTTGACTGGAAACATTGGAAAAACACTGTCAAAAACAATGTTTTGGAAGGATTTCTTATATATATGTTGGAGTTGGCTACCGGCATTGGAACATGGAAAAATTGAAGAAAACACTGTAAATAGCGGTATTTTCAACGGTTGGGGAGATAAGGGAATTGGAAGCATTGTCGAACATGATGTTTTCGACCGGTTTTATGGCGACAAAAGTGTAAAGTACCGTGCTTTGAAGGAAACCATTGCAAAAACATGGAAACACATTCAAAGAACACGGGATTTGGGGGACTATCTAGGCGTCGTTGTCTAGCTATTTGAAATTCCGCAGCTTGGAGAGCCTCCAAGGGAGGGAAAAGTGAAAATTCCATAGCTTGGGAAGCTGTCACGGCGGGGAAAAGTGAAAATTCCCTAGCTTGGGAAGCCCCCACGGGGGGGAAAAGTGAAAATTCCCTAGCTTGGGGAGCCCCCACGGGGGGGAAAAGTGAAAATTCCCTAGCTTGGGGAGCCCCCACGGGGGGGAAAAGTGAAAATTCCCTAGCTTGGGGAGCCCCCACGGGGGGGAAAAGTGAAAATTCCCTAACTCCCCCACGGGGGAAAACCACCCTTAGCCCCTCTCACGGACCGAAATAAACCTGCGGTGTGGGCGGCCACCCCACGCGAAGCGGGGTGAATAATTAATCCCAATTGCAACATGCTCTCAAACATATTGAACGACCTGGCGGAAGCCATGAAGGCGTTGGACGGAAAAAAGTTACCCTTGCCACTCAAGCCTATCTGACAGCAAGGAAGAGAGGAGAGGCAAGCAAGGAAAGAAAAGGAGCGACAGTGAGGCGGGAAATAGCAAAGGGACACGAGTCGCCAACACA